ATGTGTGTAGGTATATGTGCATGCATGTACACATATGCAGATGAGTGCAGGTAAGTAAAGGTCTCGGAATATTTACATATGTGTATATATGCACATGTGAGGGTATAAATGTGTGCAAGTGTGTGTGTGTGTATGTCTGTGTGCATGTGTTTGTGTATGTGAAGATTTGTATGTGTGCAGGTGTATATGCATGTGTGCATGTGTGCTTATGAGGGTTTACATGCGCGAGTATGATTGTATATGTGTGTGTTTGTGTGCATGTTATAGATCCCTAAAGGGGAAGCATTTACAGCTTCTTGGTTTAAACTTATTGGATACGACATTCACTCTTTGAAAACACGAAACTTCTAACCAGGCTCCTGAGACTCTGCAGCCAGGGATGTTTCCAGAGTGCGAGAGCCTCTGGGCTCCACTGCTGTTGAATGTTCTTGCCCCTCCTGTGACCACTGCTACCCCTCTTCCCTTCCTTCTGCTTGCCCTTTCTTGGTGATACTGATCCTATCTCCTCCCTCTTTCCACTGGTTCTCGACCCAGTGTGCCCTGTCTAGCCCTTAGAGAGATGGCTACTTCTCTACATCCCAAGGAACACCTAGACTGGCGCCGTGTGGTTGTTATCTCGAATTAATATCGAGTAACTATTAAGAACACAATTAATAATAACAATTATAGTTTAACAACAGAGCAAACCATAGCTCCCTGAGAGCTTAAGGAGCTTCCCAGCAAACCATTATGAGTTATTCATGAGTCGTTTCAATTCCTAACTTTAATTTAATGACCAGACTTAATAGTCAGGCACGGCCCCTGCCTGAGGTGGATTAATTCCATTCCAGACACACAGCTGGGGATCAGTGTCCAGCCTCTACTCCTTCCACCCGGTTGGAGGGAGGGCTTCTAAGTGGTGAGGACTCTGGTGAGGAGCTGATTGCTGAGAGGGGGTGGGGAGAGGCCCAGGTAAGCTTTCTCTGCACTTGATACTCATAGCATATGGCTGGGGCTGGGGCATTGATTGGTTCAGACAGGCAGGCTGTGTTTCTTTAGGGGATCCCGGAGAAAATGGAATCTTCCCTCTCTTTCTCGGGCCCTCACTGGGGAGCTTAGGGAGGGTCATGCTCCCCAGGATCTGATTGTTGGAACTCCTGGTGTCCAATAGACTTGGAACCCAGGACTCCAGGACCTGTGGCTGCACCTTCCATGCCCGGTAGGCGTTTCTTTTCACCCAGAGGAACCAGAGAGAAGGAGAAGGATTAGGATATGGCCGGTCATGGGAAGTTTTCCACTTTAGGTGAAATCGGAGTCGGCTCACTGCCGACTCCAAAGGAGACGACAGGAAGGACTGTCTGACTCTCCTGTTTCAGGGCCATGGAAGGAGGAGAAGGAGCTGTCTATAGAACTGGATTTCAGAAGGCTGAATCCTGGGCTTTTTTGGAAGGGGACTCCCTCCAAACTCACCTCTGATCATATCTTGACTCTCTAGTCTTCCTTCCCCTCTCTTATTCCCTTCGCACATCAAACAGCTTCCTATAAGCCCTTCCAGAAGCACTCAGTCTGAGAATATCTCATTCCAGTACTGGACCACGGGGTTCTAGAACCGAAGAGCAGTTTCCTTCCTAACCCACATATCCCCTCACAGTTTGTGGCTCGGCCCTCTCTGCCCGGTCCCCACCACTGCATCTTCACCATCTCTTCCAGGCCCTCGCTGAACTGCCTTAGCTTAAGCCTTTTCAATCAATGTCTAATTTGGTCTGAACAAATGTAAGAGGATTAATTATTTATATCACAGAATCAAGAGGCCCAGCATGTCACAGCTGCAGGCTGGTGTGTCAAACAGCCCTGTACCCTTTATCTTGTATTGTGTTCTGTTATCCCGTATCTGCCGGAGACCTCCAGAGGATAAAGTCCAGAGCATCTCTTGTGTTTCAGCCTGGTCCACTAACCTAGGCTCTGAGTTCCTGCGGGCAGTGAAGAGGCAACGCCCATGCTCAGTCAGGGCCATATCAGGGTAGGGTTGAGAGAGGGGACATGTTTAATTTCAGAGATTACAACCTTTTAGGTGGACCAGGGGGGAAACAATCAAGATGAATGAATGGAAGAAGCAAAGATTCCTATAATCTTGTCAACGTCATTTGGGGACAAAAATATTAATGTACTTATGTTATAAACTTGCTTAGGGCATTTCCTCCTGGGTACAAGTGATACATGAAAAATGGAAGTGGGCTGCTGGCAGGACTTTGGTGGAGGGAAGGGGCTAAGCAGGAACTCCAAACCTCTTCTTGCCTCAACAGACCAGGCCAACCCACCATAGCTTTCCCACCACTTCCCGAGAGCCAGGAGGGCTCTCAAGGTTTGTTGAGTCTTAGAGCAAGCCCGAGCTGGTACTGCTACGCTTTGAGAACCAGCAGTTAAGCAGAAGGTCCTAAGAATTAGTAGCAAACAAGAACAGTGGCCATGTGCAAGGAGCCCAGCCCCTCTTTGTCTCTTCTTACACCAGGAGCTTATGTGGGATTCAAATACGCTTCAGGGTAGGATAGGAAAGGAGGGAGGGAGTCCCACAGGACACAGTGGTCCAGGGAAACTGTGTGTTCTCTCTGTGTTCATTTACTAACGTGCTAGCTTGAAGAAACCCCAGTTTCAGATTGAAAGAAGAGTTTTAGTATTCTCACTAAGCTGTCATCTTTCATCCCCTAGATTTGCTAGTTGTTCGCCTTTGCTCGCCTGTGCTTCAAAATGACCTCCTGTGTAGGCTCACACTTGCTCCTTGTCCTCGCTGTTCTGTGTCCTTGAGCTGGGTGATCAGGGGAGCCATTCCTGGCAGCTGGGTACCCTACTGAGGTCCGACGGCAGGTGGAGGGCATGCTGCCACGCTTGTTCCACAGATCACTGGGCCCTCGGGTGACAGGGAGTCTGGCAGTGACGTGGAAGTGGGGAGTTGAGTGTTCCAGTCTCTGGGGCCCCGTAGGCATCTGGGGGATTGCTGTGATGGTCAGTGGATGGGCTGTCTGCCTGTCTGGTGGGGGATGCTTATGGATGAGAAGGGGACTGGCATTTGAAGTGTCCCCTGGGTACAGGATACCTGTCTAGGGACCTTGAGCTGAGAGCGGAGGGCAGACAGGAGAGAAACGCAGAGATGGCAGGTGCAGTTAGAAGCCCAGAGACAGGAACCAGTTTTAGTTCCTTCTGCATCTTCTGTCACTTCTGGGCAGTGCCAGATCCAGGCCAAACCAGTCTCTCGAACTGACTGGATCACAGGATTCCTGGGAGTGGGAGGTTCTTTACCTTCGTGGTAGGTATCAGAGGCTGTCTGATCTTCTTGTTTCCAGCGCAGGAAGGGTTAACTCAGGAGGGATGGATAGAGAGACTGTGGGCCTCCCTGACTTTTGGCCCCACTGCTGCTCTATTATCCACACCACAGGGAGCCAGCGCAGTTCACTCTGTCCAGCCTGAGCCTGCTGTGGCATCTTCTGTGGTCCAGTGCCCTTTCTTCCACCTGCTGGGACCGCTTGGCCTCATGTCTTCCTTCTCCTCCACATCCCTAGTCATTGCTTTCCTAGTCTGGGACCATTAGCATTCGTGCCACTTGCAGAAGCGGCAGCTTAACAGCTCGTATCCATAGTGGAGGTGGTGCCCTGGGCTCCGCCATCAAGCCTGGGCTGCTGGGAAGTGAGGGTCATTGGAAGTTCTGCAGAACATCTGAAGGAGCGAGCATCCCACACCTGCACTTGGATACCCGTGAGGTCGCTTAGTTTCTGGAATGCTGTGTGGTGATGTGCACAGACAGACAGAAAATGGCCCAGAGCGGAAGCTCCGAAGGCGTATTTGATCAGCCAGATGCATGGAAGGAATGCCTAGTTTATGCCATGAGATACACTGCATGCTGAGAGCCCTAAGTGACTAGATTGCAGTTCCTGCCTCTGAGAAACTCGGTCAGAAGGCGGAGACAAACATGGGAAAAACAGTGATGCCTTTATTAGTGTGGTGGATGAGGTTGCACGGGGCGGGGTAAAGGCTCTGCAGGATCCCAGGTACCCTTTGAGCTCTGGCCGGGTATCCAGTGCTAAGTACACTAACTTACCCATTCTGCTACTGGTTTCTACACTTACCTGAGCCTTGCTCTGTCACTTCAGAAATATGGAATAAGCAAGCCATTGAAACAGGAGAGGCACCCCTGGTTTCCTGGCAGAGGGAGTGTTCAGGGGAGCTTGAAGGAAACAGAGGGTCTGCTTGGCTCGCAGGTGGGGCCGGAGTGGGGGAGGGGCGGAGAAGTCTATTTGGATACCTGCTGCGAAGCATAGCCTGTGGCTGCGTGTGACATGCCACGTGACAGGCACGGGGTGGAGAAGCCTTAGACCAAGCTGTCTCCACAGCAGCGAAGCTCACCTGTACTGGGTGACAGCTGGGTTGGCCTTTGCAGAGCAATGGAACGTGACGGTGTTGTCCTCCAGCACCGGCTGTGGTTCCACCGACAAGTTGACCAGGGGGGGATCTGTAGGCAGAAGAGATTCGCATACAGACTGGGGAAGGAACAGGGCAGGAAGGCATGGAAGGTCAAAGCCAGGGTTCCTCCCACCCAGGCACCATCGCGATGGGTCCCTGGAGTCTGGGAGTGACTGCTTCAGGTAGCCCTGGGTGCTGGGTGCAGTCTCTCTGTGACTCAAGGTCTGAAGGGAAGTGAACAACCATCTCTGGTGCACCGAATTCCCAGGCCCCAGGTAGTGCAGTCTAGCTTCCAATTCCATCCACTCGAGGGAAGTGGTGGGAAGGGACACTCAGCCCTCAGTACAAGCTTTCTGTCTGTGAAATGTCTGTTTATTATCTCCACGTAAAGGTTGTGGGGCCCCAGGTAACTTGAAAGTGGCATTTACACCCTCTCATCACACCATCATCTCTGCTGAGTCCTGACTGGTGTCACCAGGCCCTCAACATCCTGTGCGGGGGCCGCTCGTTTTCTCCTCTGACAAGATAGGAAGCCACACTCTGAAGTGCTAAGTGATCTGAGGTGGAGGAGACAGAAACTGTGAGATGGGGAAGCCACAGAAAGAGCACATGGAAGGGTTTGGGGGTGGGCGTGGTGAAGCATATAACATAGAGACAGAAGTGAGGGTCACAGGGAAAGACAGAGAACCCAGAGGGACAGAGACAGATGCAGACAGGAGGAAGGGAGAGAGACAGGCAGGCGGAGATGTGGAAAGGCACGCAAACATGCCCTCTAAGGATTGCAGAAGGGTAAGAAGAGGAGAAACCTAGAGGTGAGGGTGGGAGAGGGATAAAGAGCGAGATGGAGCTGTGCACAGACACATACCCAGACAAGGTGCTAAAAGGAAAGCAGGACAGCACATAAGAAACGATAGGGCACTGGAGAGAAAGAGAACACAAAACAAAACACTGAAGACTGCAGGAAAAGGGATGGGAGGGAGGGAGGGAGAGAGGGGAGAGAGAGAGAGAGAGAGAGAGAGATACACACAGACACACATTCACACAGGCAGACACACAGACAGTTATACACATGTACACACAGACAGGCAGATAGACAGATAAATACACACAGACACACAGACACAGAGAGACATACAGATACACACACACACACACACACACACAGAAAGAGATACATAGGCACACACATAAACAGAAAGTGAGACAGACAGACAGACAGACAGACAGACAGAAACACATAGACACACACAGAGACAGGCAGGCAGGCAGACACACAGAGACACACAGACAGGCAGATATACACACACAGATAGACAGGCAGATAGACGAGAGAGACACACAGAGGGTCAGAGACACAGAGAGAGCTGGCCCGGGGAGTACGGAAGTATGTGGGTAGTAGACCTTGAAGATCTGCAGCAGACACAGAGTGGGAGACCTAGGCCCAAGGAAAGGCCTTATGTGCAGTTCCAGGCTGAGTTAGAGGGCAGCTACATCCCCACGGCCTCACTAGGGCCTTGGGCTTCCATCCCTTGGGCCTGGCAATGAGTGGGTCGGGAACCAGAGTTCACAATGACTTTCAATGTATCCAGCCCAGTCTGAGAAAAAGCATTAAGAAGCCAATATCTCAGAGGCTGTGGAGGGTGTTTATGAGGGACACCCCAGGAAGTGGGACCCCCTTCTGGTGCTCTGGGCTGCTGGTTCAAGCCTTAGAGTCCCCCCCCCCCCCCCCACCGCGTTGGGGGGGGGGCCGCCACCTTTGTCTTCTGGGTCCCTTTTGTGAACAGCTGTTCATGGTGGGTGCTGGGTGAGGGTACAGAGGCGAATATCGACGGAAATCAGGAAAGAACCCCACTTCTGAGGAGACAGTGGCCACCTCTGCTTGAGGGTCCAGTCTTTCTATAGTCTTCTAGTTCCAGAAGGGGGACCGTAAACAAGTATCTACTCTGGTACAGGAGCAGCTGATCTGCGTACCTTTTTATCTGAACATCATGGTGCTATAGTATGGAACTTAAACATCCTCCCATCCCCAGGGTCACGGGTTAATGACTTGGTCTTCAGAGACATGTTATTGAGGAGGAATTGGGAGCCCTGAGGGAGCCGGAGGCAGTGGGAAGAAGAGGTCTTGTGGGGTCCTAGTCTCTTCCTTTCCCCTTGCTCCCTGGCCCTCAAGTGAGCGCTTCTGCTAGAGCACACACTCCATCCAGGATGTGCTCTCTTTACCGCCCCTTATCCCCTCGTCCAAATCAACAGGGCTCTGATTATGAAGGGCTCGTCCCAAATTGTGAACTGAAATGAACTTTTTTACCCCTTTACTGCCGTCTCATGTGTTTGCTGTAACGGTGGGGAGCTGAGTAATACAGGTAGGTATTTCGTCCACCTCAATTTCTATTTTCAAAGTGAGATTCAAGGGCTCGCTGCGGCAAGGGACGACCGTGAGGTCTCTCTTCCCACTTCTTAGGCTTATTGCACCTCCCCCTGCAAGTCCTGCAGGATCTTCCCAGTGGTTTCCCAGTGGCTTCCAAGGCAAGGCTGACTCAGGAATCCCATGGTCCTATGCAGAGCGGGCTGGCCAAACTGACCATGCCTCCTGATAAAGAAGTTGGCCAGAGGAGTTTGCTGACTGCTGTCAGGACTCCTGTGCATTGCTAGCCTCCCATTATGAAATCCAGTCCTGGTGAGCGATAGATGATCTCAGTCTAACTCTTGTTTGAGATGATGGTGTCTATCCAAAAATCTCTAAAAACCCTTCATGGAGCTCAGGGGCAACCTTGCAAAGGCTCATCCTTCACCTGGTATTCTTTACAAAGTGATGATCCCTTGGGAAGCAAGAAGATGGAGCGCGTACCCGCTGGAGGACTCTTCTTGGGTCCTCACTGGCTGGGCACTCACTTACACCCTGTTATCAGTTCACTCTGTAGAAGCCTTTTCTGCTTCTTCCCTCGCTCTCTGCGGCACCCTCGGTCCCTACGGCCTCGGGAGAAAAGACCCAGAAGGTTCTGTTCCACTCAGTTTCACTTCCGTCTCTACTCCTCGATCCAGGGATACCATGTCCCTGTTTCCATCCCTCTCCTCGGGATGTGGATGACACGTGCATGCTAGGAGTCTGCCAAATTCCAGAGGTATAAATAGTTTATGTCATACCCAACTATTAAACATGATTTTAATCCCGCTTGAGATGTCGGATGCATAACTTGCAGGAGGGTGGAACTGAGATCACACTGAACAGATGTTACAGCTGAGAGTCTGTTAGTGTTTTCATCAGCAACCTGTGTGTGTGTGTGTGTGTGTGCGCGCGCGCGCGCGTGCGTGCGTGTACATGCACATGTGCATTTTCAGAGAAAGTGTGGGGGAGCAGAGAGAAACTTCATGACTCAGTGCTTTTAGAGCACATCGTTAGAAACTTGGCAGCTGGACAGAGTCCAGATGTGGTGAGGCTTTGGGGGTGTTGCGCTTTCTCTCCCATTACTCAATCTGGGGGCTTTGTCTTCCGTTGGGTAACATATAAAGACCAAGGGAAACAAACAACAAATGTGCTTTTGCTGAGTTTGGAGACTTCGTGGTTGACTGAGAAAATGAGCAGGTTTGCAAAGGCGGCTCAGATCCAGCCTGTGGTGTCCACTGCAAACAGTGGGATGCTCACTGAATGAGCAAGTGGATCTGAGGAGAAGGAAGGAGAGGTGGGGGAGGAGGAGGGAGGCATGTAGAAGGGCCGGGTTTTTTATTTTTAGGTATATATAAACACCTCCCAGCTAGGGCCAAATGGATGGGTCTGATGGCATCTGGAGAAGGGCCACCACACACCTGTCACCGTGGATTTCAACCCCAGCCTGTACTTTCATCAGAATGTGCTGCCTGCGGTGCTAGGGGTTGGCATGAATGATGTCACTGAACTGTGACCTTAAGAGACAGGTAGATGTGATCCTCTTCATGCATTGATGAAAAATCGGAGGCCAAAACCAATTCACTAATGAGGCCAATCAATACTGGCAAAGCCTGAACTCAAACCAGGGAGAATATTGGACCCCAATCACTGTTCTGTACTACCTTGGCAGAATCCCAGCCAGGAACCTGATGCCTGGGTCTAAGCCTCACGCTGGCCTCATTCCTGCATCATTTCAGGTACAACCCTGTTATCCATGTAGCATGTAGCCAGGCCAACCAGCACTCTGTCTGGAGTGCATATGGAGGAAGGATGTATTTGATGTATTTGAATGTACATGGAATGCTATTTTTTTTTTTGAGACAAAGTTTCTCTGTATAGCGCTGACTGTCCTGGACCAGACTGGCCTCAAACTCAGAGATCCACCTGCCTCTGCCTCCCGAGTGCTAGGATTAAAGGTGTTCACTACCATCTACTGGCCTACGATGACAGCCTTGTCACTAGCTTCTCACGGGGCAGTGGACAGTGGTATGGAGTAGAAATGTTTCTCCTTGCTTCTGTCCAGGGAAATTGTGTTTACATGGGACTCTGTAGCTGGCACAGCCTCCTGCCTGCGTGCAGCTATGGAACAGGACAGGAATGCCACAGTGTCACAAATGGCAGGCAGGAAGCAAGAGACTTGGACACTCATTGTCTCCCACCCTCACTTCCCCCAGATTTGGTTTGTGTGTGAGAGAGCTCTCAGCTTTGATTGCTCCTAGGAAGAGACCTTGGATGGTATCAGCAAATCAGACAAGAAACTGGAATTATCAGAGTGAAGTGACAAGTTTAGAGCCACCTAGCTCATGGTGATGGATCTGGTCTGGATGCTGGCCCACATGCCGATCTGGTTCATGGTGACAGATCTGGTCTGGATGCTGGACCACATGCCGAGCTAGTCCCTGGTGACAGATCTGTTCTGGATGCTGGACCACATGCCTAGGTAGCATCTTACCTTTTTTCCAGAGCCGGGCTTTGCTCTAGCCACAGCTGTTCACCTGCTGGCTGGGTGGTGCTAAGACCCAGGGTGGGATCAGGGTCCGGGACAAGGAGCATCGCCTTAGGTCTTTCTCTCCTGCTTCTTTTATCTCCCTAGCCCTAGGCTTGGTAAGAACTCTCTGCTTCCACTGTCCCTGAGTGCAGAATGGAAGAAACAACCTTGGGGTGGGGGTGGGGGTTTGTTAGTAGAAAATGGCAGCATAGTGTAAAGTAGAGCCTTCCCCAGAACGCTGTTGCCTTGGCGGAATGTTCAGACCCTACCCAATACTTAACAAATCTCTCTTCTTCCCTATGTACTTTATAGGTACCCCATAACTCTGGAGGGCGGAACACAGAGATGCCTAAAATTCATCAGGGATATGAGAAAGTATTTTTAAATTCATCAGCTTTAGGGGACTGGAGAGACGGCTCAGTAGTTAGAAAGCACTTGCGGTGCCATCACGAGGATGAACTTCTGGATCCTAGCACCACATAACAGGTAGGCATCCCACATCCATGTGTAACCCCAGCTTCAAGGGGGACAGGGAACTGAGGATGGTTGGAGCTATCAAAAGTCCATTAGGCTGCCATAGGAAACATCAGACCCAGGGTCAGGAGAGACGTTGCCTCAAAGGAATAGGCCACGTTGGTAGAGAAGAACCCCAACTGCCTTCTTCTGGCCTCTGTGCACCTGCATATACGCACGCACACACACTCCCATGGGGTGGTTCCAACCCTGAGCCTGGCCGGGGTGAACAGAGTCTGTCGGTACTCACGCTGGATGTCTATGGTGACTGAGGTCTCCTTTCCTCCAGGGATGGCTTTGTTGGTGGCTCGACACACAATACTCTGCCCGTTTTCTACATCTCCCGGGGAGATGAAGAGGGTGCTGACAATGCTCTCACGTTTGCCATCGCGAAGCAGAGTCTGCGGAGAGAGGTGGTGAAGGAATAGAAGGTCTCGTGTTACTGAACTGAGATGACCCGGGAGGGAAAGACAGACCTCCGGTCAGAGAAGCAAGAGCTGTGCATGGCGAGTGTTGGGAGGGTTGGCTCAGGAGACCGGGGTCCAGTCACCATTCAGACCTGGGGGAATTCCCTTACAGTCTTGACCTGGTTGAATGCTGGATGGTGGAAGGAAAAAACAAAGGGACTAGAGAGATCGCCGTGCTGTGTGAAAAACAGCCCATACTTGCATGTCAAAAGCTCAGCAGAAATCAGGTTTAGCTGACTGGAAGCCAGACCTTGGATAGGTAGGTGCTCCTTAGACCTTAACTCGTTTCTGTGTTCTACCCCTGATGTTGGCGACTCTGGATCCACAGCAAGCAAGTGGAGGGGTTGCAGTAAACAGAGAGAAGGAGTTAAGAGCAGGCTCAGGTAGGACATCAGCAGTCTGTGTGCACCTACCTGCCTTTATCTCCCCATGTAAGCCTTGCACCTTCCCAAATCCTTGCACTTCCCGATCTCATTAAAGCTCCACCACACCACAGCGTGGCCGGTGCCAGTGCTTTCCGTCTGGCAAGGCTCATCCAGGCAGCAAAACTACCAAACTCCTGCTCAAGTGGTAGTGGTCGAAGGAGTACTGGGGTTCTGCAGTGGGTGGACCTTTCCCTCTGACATTTGTGTCTTCCCCCTTTGTAGAAGGGGGATTCATTTGCTGATTAGTCCGTTAAGGGATTTGAGATGAGACCATCCTGGGTTCTGAAAGTGTCCTTTCCTGGAAAGGACACAACTTAGGCAGTCTTTGTCATGGTGAAGACAGAAGTTAGGATGCTCCTTCTACAAACCAAGGAATGCTGGGAGCTGCCAGGAGAGACCAGGAAGGCCTATGCACCACTGAAGTAGCACAGCCCGGTTGGCAGCTTGGCTTCAGATCTGTTAGCCTCTACAGCCCCAACAGTGCAGTAAGCACCAAGTTGTGGTGCCGTGCTACGGCTGCACCAAGACATGAGCATAAGCCAAGGGTCTTTGCTTTTTCTTCTTGGAGCCTAGCGCTATTCCGTAACTGGTTCCTCCCCTATGACTGCCACCCCCTTCACTCTTCTGTCCCTCTTTCCAGAGTCTTCCCCATTACTTTGAAACCCATTAAGACAGGCACACAGAGGGACAAAGATGCAGGCAGAGGGCCATGGCGTGTGGCACTGGAGTCTGTTCAGACTTAAAGATGTCCCCTCAAGGAAGGAACTTTACATCCTACAGGGAAGGATATAACCTTGTTTTACCTGGACAGGAGCCAAGGAATAGGTGACTGTACTTATTGAACAGCTCTCCTAAAATAACAATGGCTTTTTTTCTCATTGTCAGATTTGTTGCGAGGAAGAAGCATCATCTGTATTTTGCAAGCCACTGCTGAGTTCAAAGTGAACTGCTGGGCAGAACAGGGACTCACACGTAAGAGTAGGTACCCCGAGGACAGACTCTGATATTCTTGACCTGGGCCCTACTGCTGGCAACACAGTGATCGAGTCCCACAAAGGCCAGTGACTGAGCAAGTTGACAGCAGCTCACGGCTGCGGTCATCTTCTATGTCCTCAGCTCAGCGTGGCCCTTCTTAACTCGGGGCCAAGCTTGTGGCCTCTGGGATGTGTAGAGCCTGGTGTGAGCCTCTGGGTAAGTGGTTTCTACTGTAGGTCAAGCCAGTCTATAACAGAAGATGGAACAGAAGAGCGGCCTCGCACTTGCTCCTGTAATTTTACAGCTGGCCAGATGTAGACTCTGGGGCTTGAAGCCTTCTAGTACTTTCTGTCCTGGAAGGAGGGGTGTTGGTCTTAACCCTGTGCAGAGGGGCTAGTGAGAGGGGTGTGGCCTGATCCAGGAGTCCAAGGGCCAGTCTTAGTAGCCCATGGTCTGCAGGTCAGCTTCTGGGCCAGAGGCACAACTCGCGGTCCCAGAACAGGGTTCGATGGGGGTGTATTTTAGCCCCAAACCAAAGCCAGCATTCGGAGGGAGCTACAGCCTGCACCCTATTACCACATTGGCTTGGGGCTGCTCAGCAGACCTTGTCACCTCTATAAATAGCTAAGCGATAATAAGAACAATTTCCTGGAAGAAAATAAGACCTCCGGGTAGAATGGGGGGAGGAGGGGAGGGAAGAGGAGGGGACAGAGTGTGTATTGTTCCTCTATATCCTTTCCTTTCCTTTCCTTTTCTGAGGTGCTAACGAGGGACCTTTACATAAGTTTGATTCAGCCAAGCACCCCTCCAAAGGCTGGGCCCTGGGCTTGGTGATGGGAGTGGGGCTCTGAGGGTGGGGGTGGGAGAGAGCAGGGAGGCCTAGCTCTAATTAGGCCTTCGGACTGCTTTTCCTACTCCCTAGCCCAGCGTGTTCCTCCGCCTCGGAATGATGATTAATGACATATTTACTGTGTCCAGGCGGGTGCTTTTCTGGGAAATAAAAATTCTGGTTCAAGTTGTTTGTTCCACCTAATTAGAGAGAAAAAAAGGAAGATGTGTTCATTAAACAAAAAGGAAAATGAGGAGAAGGCGAGTGTCCCAGTAGCAAACCAGGGGCGTAGAAGGCCGGCTGCGTGCCTGGCCTTGGTCCCCAGTTCTCGGAAGAGCTCAGAGCCTGGGCAGCAGCCCCACGGAGAAGGGCTGTGTCTGTCGGCCCCTCAGGCAGATCTGCTGACACAGCTGTGGAAGGGCTATGGGGAGGAAGGCCAGAGGCTCCAAGCCCAGAGGGGTGCGAGGTGGCCATGAGCATACCTTGCTGGCTCTGTGGGGGAGCGGTTCTTGGCAGAGCCCCTTTCTATGGGCTTTCCCTTTGCAGTGTACCCTAAGTTCCAAAGAATAATACACCCAAATGATTACGACGTTTCTTTAGCTGGATAGAACCCAGAACGTTTGGTGATCTTTGGGTGTGCCCAGAATGGGCGTGGGTGACATATTCCTATTCCGGTCCTGGGCATCAGCTCTGGCAAAGAGAGTAAATGGCTACGAGGTTTAGATCGTTGGAAACCAAGATGTATGTCTAAAGATCCAGGGTGCCCACGCTGACTTCAAGAGCAGAACCCTGCTCAGAGCATAGCGTTTTGCCTATTGTCCCATCGTGTTTCCTTTCCATCTCTAAGAAGGCCTTTCATGGACCCATGCTTCTTAAGATGATGCTCTGAAGATGACAGCCCCCTCCGTCTTTTTAGGGCTGACCCTTGATTAAGTGTGATTTCCTTCCCATGGACAATCTTGAGTTTTGTATTTGAATGGGGAGTAGACAGATGCATCCAGGTCCCCCTTGCCCACTGCTCCCCTTCCCGCATTCCCTTTTGAACTTCTTTCTTCTTTTATCTTTTGCTTTGTTCCTCCTTTGTAAGTCTTCTCTATCACCTTTCTTATATGCAAATGAGGTCTTGAGACTTGGTGGACTTGAAGGTGTCATTCAAGTGGGATTGTCTATCATTTGACCGGCTTCCCTGCCTCTCTCACTCCTGTGCCCCCCACTTCTCTCCCCTCCTCCTCTCCTCACAGAGTCTGGCTCTGGGGGCATTCCTCAGGCAATGAGGCTTCCACTAGCATGCAAATCAGCTCTGGGGTTGGGGCTGGGGATGGATTATAACGGTGTTACTAGTTTCTTGATTCACTCACTACCTCCTTGGAGCGTGGTGGGCACTAATGTGGCATCAGACTCTGGACCTAGGCTTATTGATGAGACTTTGATGCATCTACAGCGATCTATCCCTTGTTGGCATACCAACCAATAGTGGCCAGGACTGGGCAAATATACAACATATAGGCTTTGGGAACTAAATTCCTGAAAGTCAGCTGTGTCTGTAGAGACTGATTGCATTTCAGTATCGTGGAGAGATTCTAGCCCACCAGAACAGCCGCTCTGTGTCAGAACTAATATCCTGGGACTAATAGATAAACTTTTTAGGATCTGTTAACTTAGCAGATCACTAGTTTCCAATCCAAAAGCTCAGATAACATCTTGGGCCTACAGAGAAGTATACCCATCTTACTATGCCTACCTCTCTGATGTACCCACCAAAGTAATTTTAAACTTGCCTTCATTTGTGACTGTTTTTACTCTGTTGAAACTATAAAAACTTCACAAAACTGATTTTGTGTTGTAATTAAAAATTTAGGGAAACAGAAATCAATGTTCTTGTCCCATGGTTGCTCAAAAATGCTCCAAATTAAACCACCCCTTATTCCCTTTAAGGTGAAACCTGTAGATTTTGCATTGACAGCATCGTGTGGCCAGGAATGAATATTTCGGAGCATAGTTCTCCGAGAGTGAATTTCCACTTCTCTCCTGCGTGTGTGTACCCACCTCTGTTTGTGGGCGTTCACAGGCTTCTGCCCAGTAACTGCGTCTAAGGAACTCTCTCACGGGCTTCAGTGAGGATGCCAGGCTCCCGGTGCCCATCTGAACAGAACTGGCTCCGGTGCAGCTTCCTGTTTGTGCCCGCACCCTCACTGTTCCAGTCCTGAGGTCACCGAAATGGCATCTGGTTTCTCAGCACTGGCCTGAGAGGCTGGACTCCGGGGGCCGGGAACACTTTTGGGGCAGTTGCCCGGTGTAGGTGGCAGATCTTTCCGACCCGCTCAGGGCCTCTGGTGAGTGGTAGAAAGCCGGGCTGAGCCCCCAGAGATGGGCAGCCTGAAGGCAATGCAGTGTGTGGGTGCCCCAACTCTGGTGCTAAATATGGGCTGCTCATTGATATGCAAACAGCCTGGAGAGGCCTTGTGCGGGCCTGATTGCCTGGCAACAAGGCCTTCTCTCTTTTCCCTCCCCACTCACCTCCCCACCTGCTGTGTCTTTTTTTTTTTTGAATCATTTCTCTGTTTCCCCTTTTATAGACACTTGAGGGTCCCTATAGGCCTGTTGTTGTCTGGACTGAATAGGAGTTACATACATGTATAATATAGGTCTGCACAGTGTCATTTGCCTGAGACCCTGCATATAACCTCTGCCCTAGGGCTAGAAGAGATGTCTTTCATTGATAAGGTGAGTGGAGGTGGCTATCACATGACATAGAATAGGGTAGACACTCTGGGCCTCCAAATTTGACAGATTGACCGCAGTGTGATGGGGTGACTGGAGGAGACAGTGTGTAGCAGGGAGAGTGAGGGCCTGGGGGATGTGAGCCGGCATCCCTTTTCTGAGCAAGCTCTTTGGAGCTCCTCTTAGCCCAGGCCCAGTGGAGACTGGGGCGGCAGACTGACGGCCCCTGGAGTAGGCAGGTAGCCTGAGAGTGGAGAAGACAAAGATGTGGGGATAGATGGCTATATCTCCTAAGACAACAGCATTTTCTCTGCGGCCCCTAGCAGGTCAGAGCCTCATCACCCTCCCTGGGGATGTAGCAGAAGTGGGAAGAGAGCCGCCCAGGAAAGGTTTCCATTCCGGCTAAGCCCATACGCATCTTCCATTTTTATCCCCTGTTCCTCCCTCCCAGGGCTTGCAGATTGGCTGGCGTTTCAGACGCGTGCCCTGTGACATCCATTTTTGTATCAGGCCCAGAGAAGCAGGAGGAACAAGGGAGAATCCCAGGTGTCCCTATATTCCCTAGGCAGTGTGTCCGTGAGTGATGGGAGAGAGGCAGCCCTTCCCCTCCCACCCTTCTTTCAGCAGATCTGGCAGGCAGCTATGGTATAGTTGCAGCACAGCCAAGCGACTCACAGTAGCACCGGACCACAGGGACAAGCTCTGCAGTGCATGCTAGGTAGACAGGGCACAACACTAGCAGCCTCACGCTCCAGCGTGTGCCTTCCCCACAGGTATACCCTCCCCTACAGTTCGTTACTATAGGTAGTGAATGCTACCCTCAAACTCAGAGGCAGAATAAACTTTCCTTCTTTAAGTTGTTTTTGTCAGACATTTTTGTCGCAACAATGAGAAAAATCGCTAATGCAGAGTCCTTCCCCTCTTCCACCCTCCTTACAAGGAACTTTGAAAGAATTTACATGGTGGTATACACCTTGAATCCTAGTACTGGGAAGCAGATCAAGACCAGCTTGGTCTGCAAGGTAAGGGTCAGGCTGGTCAGGGCTACGTAGTGAGACCCTGTCTCAGAATGAAATGAAGTAAGCAATTTACATTCATGTGTGTGTTTGTGTATTACATGCACGTGCACACATGCCATACTGTGCACGTGGAGGTCAGAGGACGACTTGTGGGTATTCATTCTCTCCTTTTACCGTGGGGGTCCTGTTAATGGCGTTTGAGTAGCCAGGCTTGACAGCAAATGCTTTTGCCATCTCACCAGCCCTATAAGGAACTTCGGTGTGTGATTTCTTTTGAGTCCTACAATAACCCTAACAAGTGGTCCCATTTTGCAGCTGGGGAAACTGAGGCGGAGCGATTAAGGCAACATTATGATGTGATGGGAGCCCGGCCTGCAGGCCGCCGCCGTTTGGACACTGCCACAGCATCTAGAACATGCAGATGGTCAGGTGTGAGGACCCAGAGGACCGGCAACGGTCCCGACGGCTGTATTTATTGCAGGTTCAGTCTGCCAGGAAGGTGAGTCCCCAGCTGTCCCGAGACCCGAGTGCTAGCGATGCTCTCAGTATACAGATGAGATAGACATGGAAAGTTTAGATCTCATAGCTAGAGGGTGGTGGAGGCCGGAATCACATTCAGGCCACCCAGCGTCAGTGGACTTAACTGCCATCACGGGAGAAAGGCCCTAGGTCCAAATCTGTCATGGCTGCTTCCTGGGGACTTCACTGTGGACTGTGTTTGAGTGGTTGTGGGGGTGTACTTGTGTATTCTCTGTCTCCCTCTGATGTTTCTGCCTTTGTAACGAAGCCAGAAATACTGTTTGGCTGGTGACAATTGTCTTTGCAGTTCTGGAGAAGGAACGGCCTGGACTGAGTTCCTGGGAGGAGATGGGGTGTGGTGGCTCCTCAGCTCGGGCCCCATGGCTCTTGCTGGAATGCTTGCCATTATGCTGAGCTCCAATCCATGGGTTTACAGCTTGTGGTAGCTAGAGCCCTTCCTGAGTGTCTCTCCCCGTGCTTTCATGTTCGGAGGAGGAAACCGAGCCCAGGAAATAAGTTGCCTGGGGTTACAGAGAGCAGGGCCTGGCAGGGACTGGCGTCTGGCCTGGCTGCTATTCCCTTTGTGGCAGTCAGAATGGAGTGGAACTGGGCAAGGACGGGCACACGGTATCCTTTCCAGAAAGGCAGTGTGCCAGGCTTGCTGAGGCACCCATTGTGTGGGCCTTCTGAGTAGGTCAGCCTAGAATAGGTCTCATAGAGTGACCTTGACCCCTGCCTTCACTAGAGGAGTCAAGTCCCCTTCTGTTCATATATCCCGGGTGGGTCAGGCTGGCCCAGCTTCAGAGTGACCCTGGACAGATACCTCCAACGGAGGAACACCCTTCTCTTCCTTCCCAGCCTCCTTTGGATGACCTTGGCTCCTGGGCTGTGTGTTTGCCTTTCCGGACGGCCTCACAGGGTGGCTCCACCCAGGACTTATCTCCCAAGAGAAAGCGTTGTTCCTAGGGTGGATTCTGGTCTAAGAGAAACCTTTTGTTTGGGGCTCTGGCCCCAGGAACTGCGTGGTAAGCCAAACTTTGATCAGCCGCTGTTGGCAGTCTAGTCAGTTTGGGATGGGAAGGAACTGTCATTAGAATAGGAAAGGCCTTTCTTTACACCCTCTGTGGATAGAAAAGTCATTTCTTTTCTTTGTAGGGCCCACGGGGAGGAGCCAGCTGGACATCTGAACTAAAGAACAAACGTGTGTCTTTGACACCCTCTGAAACGGAGGACCCTGAGTCAGGGCCCTGAAAGATTAAACCCCAACCTCAGAACCCAGAGCCTGCTTTGCTTGATCCTCAGATTTAGCCTCTGGTGGTATTCTTGGGACCCATAGAGATCTGAGCCTGTTCTGGGAGAGGCCGAGAAAGAAAGTCTAGGTGAAGGGACACCTTGGTTCTGGTCCTGTTCCCTTCAAAGTCTTTTTTTTTTTTTGTCTTTAGATGGAAGAGTTTGGATCAGTCGCCCTCCAAAGGTCTCCTTTACCCTGAACGTTCTGCAAGATGTAAACCCCGCTTGGGCCTGCATAAAAGTCTCCTGGGGTAGTGTGAGGCACTGGTTATTTCTGACCATATTCGTGGACAGTGAGGCCAACAGACGAAGGAGCCATCGCCATTGCAGAGACGGATTGCTATTCACCGTCCCCAAGAGGAGAGGCATGGCAAACCATGCCACACCAGGCTACTGGGAGTGGAGGGCTCTGTGTGATGCACCTCTGCTGTGGTTAGTGGGGAAAGGGATGGGAGGCAGGGTAGGGGCCACACAGCTTTTGGTTTGGATAACTTGACTAGCATTAGTGGGCGCTGGGCTGTAGAGGGATCTGCTGTTTCTGATTCCTGGTTTTGGAGAGACCACTCTAGACTCGAGACTCCAGGAGGCAGAGAAAGGCGAGCATGGGGCTGTGGCCTCTAGATGGGCCAAAGAGTGAACAGTAAGTTAACTCTTTCTGGGGACTGGTTAACCTGGGTCGGCTTCATATCCCAGGGTCTTTGAGACCACAAGCTGTCAAAACATTATAAAAGCCAGAAAACAAAGTAAAAGAGTAGTTACCACGAGGGGCAGTTCTGGGTGCCACTGCGTGAGTTAGAGACAGGTCCATAGGCAAGTACATCAGGGCATGGAGCTTAGATTAGCCTTCTGGGTCCCTGTTCTGGCATCTCATTAGGCAGCCGTGGAAAGCAGGCCAGATTTTGCAAACTAAAACACAGGATGGCCTATTAACTTTTAACTTCAGATGAACAATGCATAATTTGTTAGCATGGGTACAGTCCATACAACACTTGGGAGAAATATGCTAAAAAATTAACTTACTATATTTTCTGGAAAAAAGTCTTTTTCAATTCAGACTCTTTTAACAACAAACAAGCAAACAAACAAACAGCTGTAAGCTGGACAGCAGCAGAACCACAGACGTTCATTTCTTCCAGTTCTGGAGGGTAAGAAGCCCAAGACAGGGCAGACTGACTGTGAACGGCAAGGGTCAGACACCTGTCTGTAAGTGGCCATCCTCTTACAATGTCCGCACATGGCGGAAAGGACAGAGTTCTTCTCTCTTGGGCCTCTTTTATAAGGTCCCTAATTCCAATCGTGAAAACACCATCCTCATGACATAACCACCTTCCAAAGCTCCATTTCCACTCTCTTGGAGCTTACGGTTTCAACACCGGCGTTTCGGGGGTGGCACACAGTTATTCAGAGGAGCACGCACTAGCTGTGGCAACTCCAGGCCCGGTTACTTCTGCCTCAAGTCTGCTCTTCTGACCGTATCTTGCTCTGGGGTTTTTACATATAATTATGCTAGTCAGGGGGTAAGATGAGGGGGGCAGAAGCAGGGAGGCTAGTGGGAGAAACAGTCTGAGAACTAAAGTGACCAATAAAGCAAACAAACAAAACACAGGGAGATAGCGAAACAACAGAGGCACTTCCACATGGAGGAAGACAGAGCTGGTCCCCATGTGCCCGACCCCTCCACCCTTGCCTCCCTTTATCCTTTGTCCCACTGCCCATTCCCCCGCCCGCATCTCCTGCTCCCGCTCACCTTGGAGTAGGTGGCCCCGTTGATGACCTCTCCTTTGCGCAGCCAGATGATGGAAGCTGCGGGCTTGGCGTTATCCGCGTGGCAGGTCAGGTTGAGAGGGTCTCCTGCCCGAAGGCTGATCACAGGCCCCCCTAGGATGATGGGGTCATCGGGTGGCACTGTGGGGAGAGGAGCAGAGAGGTCAGGTTGGGGTAGGACTCTGCTTGACATGGCAGAGGATGATAGCAATAATGGTTATACTTTGATAAAGAGCGTTGCCCTCTGTATTACAATGATAGTAACAGTAAAAGGATGTGTTGTTCTTCATCTTTTGTGGCAGGAATAAGCATGTGTGAGCACAGGCAGGTGTCCCTAGCTAGTCTCACCGACCGGGAAGAAGTAGTCCTTTGCAACAGAGATACCAGGGACCTGCAGGATCTTTATTTTCAACTTCAAAAAAAAAAAAAGATTTATTTTTATTTCTTTTTAAAGATGATGATGATGATTGTTGTTGCTAGGTTTTTCAAGACAGCGTTTCTTTGTGTAGTCCTAGCTGTCCTGGAACTTGCTCCGTAGACAAGTCTGGCCTCGAACTCACAGAGATCCGCCTGCCTCTGCCTCCCGAGGACTAGGATTAAAGGCGTGTGCCACCACTGCCTGGCCTAGGATCTTATTTTTTAGTTGTGTGTGTGCATGCACCCGAGTGGCAGTGCTCACAGAGGCCAGAGGCATTGGACCCCCTGGAGCTGGAGTGATAGGCAGTTGTGAGCTGCCTGATAGTTGTCTTGGGAACCAGACCCTGTTCTTGCAAGTGTAGTACCTGCTTTTAATAAGTGAGTCATTAATCGGCCTCCACATTTCTTTTCTTTTTGTTGCATCTCTCACAAGAGTTTTGAAGGAAAAACACTATTTTCATCACAATTACATAGACCTGAAAACTGAGGGTCACCAAGGGACTTGCTCAAGGTCACATGGTGAAAGTATAGCAGAGTGGGGGCTGGGAGCTGCACCTTTGACCCTTGGTCAGCCTGGTCCCCTCCCTCAGGTGACAGGTGACAGGGAGGGTCTTTGGTTCTTTGGAGTTTCCACCCTGGCCTTTCCTGAGCTCTGTCCTTTAGAGTAGCTCTTGAACCCTGATTCCCATTCAGAAGGAGTTACTTTTCTTTTTCTATAAGTAACAGTGTGGTTAGTGACTGGCAGTTCCATATCCATAGTGCCAAAGGGGAACGGACATGGGACTGTTCCCTTCCCTGTGGAGCAAGGTCCCTCCCTGCAGGGCCAACACTGAACTTCATGCCTTGAAGCATCTGCAGAGACACCTGCTGGCTCCAATGAACCATGTTTGATTACCGTGAAGGCCACACTGTAGGATGTACAGGTATGGAGGTAATCAATTATTATTTAGAAAGATGACCTTGGGAAGCCAGGAGTTGACTAAGGACACATGGCTGCCTCTGAGGCTGGTGCTTCCGGGCATATTTAAGTTTCCCAGGTCCTTATTGCTCCATGGGCAAGCCATGAATGTCAGGCTTCATGGAGACTATCTGAAGAGACTGTCCCCTGAGGAACCTCTATCTTTTCTGCCATCGCCTGAGAGGGTCTATTATATTAGCCCCAGAGGCTGGAAGGGGCTCAGGGTCTCACCTGACACACAGAGGTGGGAAATCTGCACGTTCACAGGAATGAAGGTCAGGTGGGTGAGTGTGTCCTCAGGGTTTGAGGACCTAGTGCAGAGGTCTTTTATGGGCTTTTAGAGCAAGCATCCCTCCAACCTGACCCAGGGCAAACCAACACCGATGCTTGTGGTTTGCAGTGGCGCCCGGTTGCAGAACCTGCTTGCCTTCCTTCCCTCTGTCGGCTCCCGATCTAGTCCATTGGACTTCTCTAACACACAGAAGGGTCCCTTGTTTGGCTAAGCCAGTACCCCGAGCAGCAAGCCTTTAAGTTGGTCACCTCACCTATCCCTGTATGGTCCTGATGGAAGGTTGACTCAGTTCTAATAGCCCTGCAGAACCATTTCCTGAGGAACCTCAACTGTGTAGGGCCACTGAAAATGGGACCACTTTTTTACCCAAACCAGCTGTGGATGGCATAAAGATCCTGGCCCAGGGAGAAAGTTGGCCTTATCTAACCCTTCCATGCCATAGCTCTGAAGCCAGGCCTCTCCAGGAGGCCCTGGAGCTGCCAGGCTGGAGGAGGAAGGGTGGTATTGGCTGGACACTGAAGATAACCACCGGCCACTTGTGCCCACTATACCCTCTTATTAGTGCCTGTGGCCTCCTTGGGGTAGGCGTGGCCAGAGAGCAAAGGGGGGGGTTAATTAAGGCTTTCCATCAATGGGGGTGTGACTAGCGACTGATGAAAGGGATTTCAGCTTCCTGTAGTGGGGCTGAGCGGGGCCCCTCCAGCAGTGAGGGCTGGGGCTTGCAGTATTCTGTGGAACTCTGGGTGCTCCTGTGCAGTTCTCAGTAGAGGCAGCCCCCTTCTCAGCACTGGGTGCTGAAGAAAGAGGAGCTCACATTCCCAAGTTGGACCTGGACTAGAACAACTGGTCCCGGAGCAGAAGGACCACCTAACCCTTTTGGCATCTTCTGACTTGCAATGATGGGTCAAGAGACACGCATGGTAGAAGGTGCCCTGGATCAGAGGATGACTGGAAGGCAGTGTCCTCAGGCAGAAATTGTGAACACTCCCCCAGCACTGATGCATGTTGGAATAAGATGGGGGGGGGGTTGGCTGACAACCTTCTCGGGACGTTTCATCAGTCCTGTTGCCAGCATGCTCTCTGACCAATGAGACCCCAGAACGAGGAGCTCGTCTCCTAGGATGTGGGAGAGCAGCCACGTTTGAGTAGTCTGGGCTTTTGGCTTTGGTACCTAGAGCTGTTCTATATTCTGGTCAAGGTGTGTGTGTGAATGCGTGTGAGTGTGTGTGTGTGTGTGAGTACTTGTGAGTGTGAATGTTCTTCCTAGAAACTCATACCACAGGCCCCACCCCTCCCTTCTCTCTTGCTTCACCAGTGCTGTGTTTGAGGAGACTGCATTAGCAGGACTGGGGATGAGGGGAGCTGCGAGCGGAGGGGGGCTGTGTTGTGGGAGTTCTCCGGCACGCACACACATTCACACACACAAACATCCACCCTCAGAATGGGTCCTGATTACATCTTCCCAAATAAGTGGTTATCATGCTGGTTATTCATGTAGCCATGCATTATTGATTGGCCTTCGCCTCGCTGCACACCAGATGGGGGTGGGAGGGGTGGGTGGGGGTGGGGTGGGCAGGGTGGGGTGGGTGAGGAGGGAGGACGTTTGGGGGCTATCGACTGAATAGAAATTAACACTCGTTCTTGGCAGCTGTAGCTCAGATGGGAGGTGTGTGTTGGGGGGGATTACTCATTACCTCTCCATTCAGATGGGGGCCCATTGCTAGGGCCGTGTGGGGAGGGGAGGAAGTCTCTGAGAAGCCCAGGCCTGGAGATGCATTATTCATACATCCCCTCACAGGCTTGGTTATTATCCTGAGCACTATAGAGTTTGGTCTCCTAATTTTTAATCACAAGGAAGGTGGAAGCGTTAGCCTTTTGGTGATTAATCTGGAGACAAAAATAGTTGACTGTTTTGGTGTTGCTCTTGTTGTCAGTCAGGAACTAAATTTGCATTAAGTGTTGGGGGACTGTGGCCCGGGGAAGACCCGGTGGAGCCCAGGCTGTCTCTGGTTTTGACTCCAGGACTGGCCAGGGTGAACATATCTCGCCCAGTTGGCTTGAACAAAGGGGAACAGACCCTCCTAATATGGGTCCCCACCACAGGGGTGGTAACTTTGTAGTTGACCTTCCTGTCACCCAGGGTTTGGGGCAGCGTCTAGCATCTCTCTCCCTGCTACGTCCTTTCTCTGGTACCTGTGCTGCAGTGAGCAGTATGGGGCACTCATCTCTCATTCTGTGTGGGTGAGGAGCCCCTGAAAACCCTCTCCGAACTTTGCTGTGGAGAACAAGGGGGTCTCTTTAGAGGTTGGGGAGACACAACACAGTAAATTCTGCATCGACACAAGGAAACTGAGGTGAGCAGTAAAGAGATTGGCCTGAAGTTATCAGGGAGGAAGGAAGAAGGGAAGGAGTGGCTTTGGAAGGCATATCCAGGGAGGTAAAGCTTTTACATTTTTTGATAAATTAATCAATTAATCTCCCCCCCCCATTCAACAGGATTCTACATCTAGAAGTTGCTGGGAAACACCCCCGAGCCTCAATTCCTTCTGGGATAGCCTTAAACCTGGAGCTTGTGACCAGCTTTTTTTTTTTTTTTTTTTTTTATTTGCAATGCCAGTTTGATGGAGGACAGCCTGGGAGCAGGGATGGAGAACTGTTGCCCCATTCTGGAGTGTCCAGAATGTGTTTGATGTCCAGTGATTGACTGTACAGAGCCAAGTTCACTTGACTCATTGGCCTTGACTTATCAGCTTGGCCAAACCCTCTGAATAGCCCAGGTACAATCTTGGGGCAACGCTGACGATGTTCCCTCCAGAGTCTATTGGTCACTCAAGTGGACTCCTGGCTGGGTTTCAAGGAATTCCTCAGATACTATATCAACCCAGATGGTTGGCTCCACAGACAGCCATCTGGGCACAACTGCCTCGTGAGTCAGCAGCATTCACACAGAAGGTTCTGTGTGGCAGCTGGGAGGGTGGGAGGCCAGCCAGCCGCTCTTCCTGCCTTCAACCAACATGGGGGAACTCACAGAACTTAGGCTTGGGGGGGCAGAGCTGGCCTTTAACTGAACAGCAGTGAGTTCTTCGTCCTATAATGGAGTGGTCTATGGAACACTTGAATGGGCCATGTCCCTATTCTGCCTTGAAACCCCTGGGGCTCCCTACTGTTCTTGAAACATGATTTGGGCTCAGAGTTGCCCACAAACACCTTCACTCATGATGATGATTCCTGGTGCCCCTGAGACACCAATCCATCCATCTTCCTCCTTCACCAGGTCCTAGCCCAATCAGCTCCTCTGCCTAAGGGCCAACGAGGGAGCCATTTCAGCATCATCTTCTCAGAGAGGCTTACCCTGTTCATCCTGTATAAGAGCCCCATGGCCTTATGTTTACACTTCTCACTGTATCTTCTTCATGACTGAAGAGCCAAGAAAGAATAGGAAAGGTCTCATCTGTCATGGCCACCCTGGCATCACTGTGCCTAAGGTCGGTAGCCAACTCACAGAGGCTCCCCAATATACATTTGTTGAATAAGTAATAAAAGATTCCCTTGGGATTAAGTGCGGACCTTGGTTTATGAGGTCCATGTTTTTATAATATCTCTCTATCTCTCTCTCCTTTCTCCTCCCTTCCTCCCTTCATGACTCTGCCCCCCCACCCCATGGGTGTGTTCTCTCAGGAGAGTGGTGGGCAAAGTGCTTCCTCGATCTGACTAAGTAGATATGAAGAACCTCTATAAAATTCCTAGGAAGGGAGCTGGAACTGGTGAGGTTTACAGTTCGAAGTGGCTTTTAGTCTGTCTCCTTGGGGCATCATGAGGTACCTTAGCAGAGTAGGGGTAGCAACCAGGTTTGCCTGATTCACAGGATCGAGAGAAGGCGCAGGGTAAACTCAGTGACACTTGGCTGAGAAGTATAGGTTTGCTGGCAGTGTGTATTTCCTATTTCAGAGGTCACCTCAGCCTCTGCCCCAGAAGCTCTGGGAAAGAACCAGGGAACAGCTGCCATGAGTCTCAGTGTTGACTGGAATTGAAGGAGGACAGCTGGGGTCTCTGGGGTCAATTGTCACGTCTTCAGAATCTTCTTCGTCTTACTACATACAACCTTGCTCCTTCCCTTCCTTTCATATCTGCTTAGTGTCATGAACTGTGGACTCTATAGTGAGTAATGTCAGACACAGCTCCTCTCTTGGGGGTCACAGTGAGACCCCAGTTACCTCTGGAGGCTTCACTTTCATTCATGAGCTTGGCAAAGACCCGGGGCATTTGCATGTATCCATCTTTTGAGGAGCCCTGCCTTCGGGGTCTGCTAGAAGAAATCACAGACGGATGAGCGTGAAGCAGGAGGACTGGACAATGAGGGTGGCTCTGGGGTTCCCCATCCCTCTGTTGGCTCCACTCTTTCTTAGCTTAGATTGGAGAGCAGGCAGCCCATTCACTGCCCATGAAGTCAAAGGACCTTGTTGTAGGAAAGGCCCTCTGCAAATATTATCTCTTTAGCTGAGGTTGTAAGAGTTCTCCAGCCCCTTCTTCCTTCCAGGCTGTGCTTTCCCAACCTTTGAGACCAACTAAGAGGCCACTCTCTTCAAGCAATCTTTCAGTTGGGCCAAGTAACGCCTGCCTCTAGTCTATAGTATTTTAGGCACCTTTCTAGCTCAACATCTAGCATGTCCTAGGGAAATATCTGTTTCCTCTGCCTCTCCTCTACATAGTAACTTCCCTGGTCCTGGATTCTCTGCACCCAGTGTAGCACATGTAATACAGGATACAGTGTGCTGTGTGTGTTTGCCTAGCTGAACTTGGCAGAGACTCATCATTTTATGAGCTTTTTTTATGTTATTATTATTATTATTATATACACGTTAAACAACCTGACAAATTGAGCCCTCTTATCTGAGAAGTGGGGTAATAAAACTACTTATCCTGTGGGGTTATTAAGATTAGGTTTATGTCATAAAGAACAAGGCGAGGGTTTGTAAAGAGCTACCAGCTTATGCCAAGTTTGCTTTGTGGTTATGTAAAAGGCGCTGGCTATGTCAGCTGTTGTTTTATTGTTAACTCCCTTTGAATCAGGATCTACTAAGACCTCCCTTTTACAGGCAAGGAAACTGAGTTCAAGAGGAAAATCGCTTAGGTAAAACCACACAACCGAAGGTAACGGAATCAGAATCCAGACTGGTGGATACTAAGGCATACTGTCTAGAGTGGGAGCCTCTTACAGATCACCCCTGCGGCTCAGCAGCCCTGCTCAGCAGCCTCCAGCGCTCCTGTCCTCATTTTGACCCTGTAATTCCCAGTAGCTTTGGCCTCTGCCTGCAGGGCTTTCAGACACTGCCCCTCTCCCCCTGTCTGCCCTTCTTGCTGCTTTCCTCTCACCTGGATTTCGGATATCCCCAGAAAGCACAGGCCAGGCCAGGTTTGTGGCTGGTGCTCTAGCGACATCTGCTAGGGGAATGGATAGAGATTCCTGCAGGCCAGAGCCACTGATTGCTCACTTCTGTGGTTTTCCCGTCTGAGCCTGAGTCACAAGCAATGCCAACTGCCAGTGTCTTCACTTACACAGATCTGCCACCTATTGGCCACCCTTTCGAATGGCAGGGTATTAAGAGCCTGAACCTGGTTTTCAGGGTGGCCTTCTAGTGTTATCCAAATGTTCCACGTAGAAAATTTGTATAGGAAACCTACTATGTGTCAAGTTCTGTTATAAACACCAGGGATACAAACCAATGGTCCTGGTGTGAAAATTATAAAATAAATAAATTGAAACTCCAATGTGGATAAATATTAAGAAGAAAATATATTAGCTAGTGGTGGCAAATACCTTGGAAGGCAGAGTCAGGAAGAGCACTGAGCGTTTAAGTTCAGCCTACTTATAATGACAGTTTTGGCCTGGTTGACTTGGGAATCCTCTCTCTCTCTCTCTCTCTCTCTCTCTCTCTCTCTCTCTCTCTCTCACACACACACACACACACACACACACACACACGCACACACACACACACACACTTGTGTGGGTGTACACGTGTGTGTATGTGTGTGAGTATTTGTCTTTGTGTATTTATGTGTACATACGTATGGTGTGTGTGAGGTCAGGAGGGCATCAGATCCCCCGGAACTGGAGTTACAGATGGTTGTGAGCCACCACGTCGTGGATGGGGACTAAAGCTGGGTCCTCTGCAAGAGCAATGAGTGCTCTTAGCTACTGAGCCACTTCTCCTGCCACCTCCTTTATATTTTAACATGGAGTCTCTCCCTGAACCTAGAGCTTGGTGTTTAGGGTAGAGCCTGTCTCTAGTACCCCGTCTTCCCAGCTCTGAGGTTACAGGCATGCTTCCACACCTGGCACTTTACTTGGGATCTTGGGATCTGAGCTCAGGTCTCCATGCTTGGACAGCAAGCATGTCCTTATTCCACTGAGTCATCTTCCCAGACTCCTTGGCTCTTTTGGTTTTGGCTCCCTCCCTAGATTTGTTCTTGCCAGGCATGTCTCATTCTCCACACCATGCATTCAAAAGTCTACTCAGTTACCATCTTTATGCTGATAAAATAAACCCAGGCAGGAATCTGAGCTCAGAACCCTTCTCCCCAACAGGGTCTCAGGTATCCCAGGCTGGCCTTGAACTCTGTGTAATGAAAGATGACCTTGAACTCTAGATCTTCCTACAAGAAGGGTTGGAAATGCGGCGTGTAGCTACCATGGCGGCAACTTTCATTCCGTGCTTCATGCATTCTAGGCAAGCGCTCTACCGGTTGAGGCACATCTCTAGCCTCAGAGTCAAGATCTAGCTGCCCTTGGCCTTAGATCAGCGTGTCTGATCTAAAGTCCCCATTTCTACAGCAAGACCTGTTTCTTCTCTACATTCTATCTGGCAAAATGACCTCAGCGTTCAGTTACGAAGATAGCCATATGCCGAGAGTTGCCTTTCTGGATTCCACCCCAGCTCCTCATTCTGCACGCCTAGGCAGTCTGCTAGATTCTCTGGAACTTCTCTCCAGGTTGCTTTTTCCTTTTCTACTTCTGCACTCTCTTCTTGACTCAGGAAGTCGTGGTTTCTAGTTTGGATTAAAATACCCTGCCCTTCCCCAGGACCTCCACCCTTTCTCTGGTCCTCTACACTTCTCCAAAGTGATGATGGCAACAGTCCGCCCCCTCAGCCCCCCTGTGCTTGAGTATCTCTCTAGTAGTAAAACCCTTTACGGGTCCCTCGCTGTCATCTGAATGGTCAAATGTTTTGGCCTCTGCCAACTTCTTCAGTTTTGTTTTTCATTTTTCTTCTTTCCCTTCCTCCTTCCTCTTCCACTTCCTTTCCTCTTTGTTCTCTCCCTTCTTCTCCTCTTCTTCCTCCTTTTTTTACGAGTGGGTGGGCACTAGGGATTGTACCCAGGGCCTTGCTCATGCTTGGCAAATATTTCACTACTGAGCTCTACCTCAGTCTTTCATCACGCCTTATCTCCTCAAATCATGGCGCATCCCCTATGACTGTTGTTGGACAAAGTCTGTCTTCCTCAGTTGGCTTTCCCCTTTCTTGGCTAATCTGAAAGCTAGTATGGGTTCAGATCCTGAGTCCCACAGCCAATGGCTTGTAGCCACAGGCAAGTG